CTTCCTTCCTTCCCTTTCTTCCTTCCTTCCCTTTCTTCTTTCCTTCCTTCCTTTTCTTTCTTTCTTTCTTCTGATCCTAAGGCTTGAACTCAGGGTCTCGGTGTTGTCCCTGAACTCCTATTGTTTTGCTCAAGGTTACTGCTCTACCACATGAGCCAGAGCACCATGTAGATAAGAGTCTCATAGACTTTCCTAACTGGCTTTTTGAATCATGATCTGAGTAGGTAGGATTACAGGCTGGAGCCACCAGCACCTGGCTTCTTTCCATTTCTTTTCAACCCTCTCTCCAGCCTGTCCCTTCTACATTTTAATACATTTATCTATTGAATATTGTGGTAGTTGTTGTTTATATTGGAAAAAGTTGGAAATAGTCCAAAATCCAAGAGGAGCTCCCATATGGAGGGCAAATTATAGAAATGATAGAAATAATAAAATGCAAGGAGGGAAAATGGAGGAGAAAGTAAAATATGAAAAATAGGAGAAGAGATAATAGAATATAAAATTAATTGAAATTACATTAAAATAAAAATTGTATATTTTTTATATTTCTCTGACTTTTGGAACTGACTAGTTTTGGTTTTAGTAATAAAAAAATGAAATTTTATTTTAGATGTCAGAATTGACCCGAGTTGAGTTAAAGACAAGATAAATTCAGTTTAGGTTATTTTCATGTAACAATGACTGCATGGGAATGGTTTTGTTTACTTTTAAGTGTTTATGGAAATTTCATAATAAATTTTTTTAAATATCAGAAATAACTTTTGAATATTACCTGATGATGAAAGTAATACTGTAAAGTGATCTAATTGCATACTTAATATGAAATAGATTTTATAAGAACAAAATGGTATTTGGGAAAAAGTTGCTTTTTTTGGTCAGTCATGGGGCTTGAACTTTGGGCCTTAGCGCTGTCCCTCAGCTCTTCAGCTCAAGGCTAGTGCTCTACCACTTGAGTCACAGTGCCACTTCCAACTTTTTCTGTTTATGTGGTGCTAAGGAATTGAACCCAGGACCTCATGCATCCAAGGCAAGCTCTCTACCACTGAGCTACCTTCTCAGCCCCGGGAAAAAGTTTTAAGATGGTAAATTTCCTAAATTTCTAAAGGGAGATATTAATAATGTTTATTAGTAATTCAGTCACAATCAAGTTTTCTGGGGTTTTTATGACTATAGAGAGTGAATATTGATATTTTGTTCTGGTTTTTATGATGATGGTGATCAAATCCAGGGCCTCACAAATGCTAGGCAAGTACTGTACCACTGAACTATATCTTCAGCTCAAATATTTGGTTTTAAAAGGACAAACTAATAATGCAATTAAGGATTCTTCAATTGTGGTTTGTATAGTTAATAAGTATTTTATACTCAAAAATATAACCTAATTCAGAATGTTTGTTAATTTAGAAATGGTTCATTTGTGTAGTTTAGTGCTCAGCCTAAACCAGTGTTTGAAAATGTTGAAGGGGGGCTGGGAAGATGGCTCAGTGGTAGAGCGCGTGCCTTGCATGCCTGAGGCCCTGGGTTCGATTCCTCAGCACCACATAAGCAAAAAGAAAAAAAAAGCCGGAAGTGGTGCTGGGCTCAAGTGGTAGAGCGCTAGCCTTGAGCTGAAGAGCTGAGGGACAGTGGCCAGGCCCAGAGTTCAGCCCCCATAACTGGACCAAAAAAAAAAAAAGAAAATGTTGAAGAAATCTATGTGTCTTTTTTCTTGTTACCAGGAAGAAGAAACACGTGATGAAATTCCAGAATGTTCTGAACCAATGTTGGAGTTTAACAGAAGTGTTAAAGTTCTTTCTACAAAATATAATGGTCCTCCATTTCCACCAGTTGTTTCTACATTTCAGCCAACTACTAATATTCTAGAGAAAGTAATAGAGAAAAAAGAAACATTGGAAAATGACTTAGTTCAGTGGTGAGTTTACAATGATATTTGTTTGATAAGAATCATAGTAGCAAATATAACTGTAAAGTATAAATTGTAGTTGAGAAACTTCCTTATCTTTTTTTATTATTAAATTTTTCCTTTGTGAATGTCAATGAAAATTATTTGATATAATGCCTATTTATTTATTTATTTATTTTGGTCATGGGGCTTGAACTCTGGGCATGGGTGCCATCCCTGAGCTCTTCAGCTCAAGGCGAATGCTCTGCTACTTGAGTCACATCGCCACTTCTGGTTTCTGGTGCTTAATTGGAGATGAGTCTCACAGACTTTCCTGCCTGGGCTGGCTTTGAACCCTGAATCCTCAGATCTCAGCCTCCTGAGTAGCTAGGATTACAGGTGTGAGCCACCAGTGCTCAGTGATACAATGCTTTAAAATTTATTTTGCTCTTGAATATTTTTTCCTGGGCTATCTTCTAGAACAAAAGAAGCTGTTATTTGAATAACAGAAGCCTTAAAAATGGAGATGTTCTGGCTACACCTGTAATCCCAGCTACTCAGAAGGTGAAGATAGGATTAGGGTTTGAGGCTAGCCCAGGCAAAGTTAGCACAAGATGCTTTCTGAAAACAGACTAAAAGTAAAAAAGGACTTAAGGTGTGGTCAAGGGCAAGACTATAAGTTCAGTCTCCAGCAGTGCAAATAGAAAGTACATGTTCCTTATTGTAGTGATTCACTTCCAGAATATAGTGATTCACTTCCAGAATGTATTCTAAGGAAATAATTATAGCTCTGTTACTCAGCCAGATAATACCAACACTGAAAAAGGCAAACAGCAAAAGGTGGTAAGAATACATTACTTGGTTATTACATGTGAATATGAAACTGATTCTTATTATATCCTTACCTTTACTTGTAAGTAACCTTAAGGAAGTTAGGACAGAGGAGTGATTTTTTTTGGGGGGGGTCTGGTGTTGGCGCCTGAACTCTGGGCCTGGGCGCTGTCCCTCAGCTCTTCAGCTCAAGGCTAGCGCCCTACCACTTGAGCCACAGAGCCACTTCCGGC